CAAGGGGAGATAATCAAGAAAAGACAAAAATAGGGTTGGGTCATTAAAAAATCTTCTTCTCAAGAACCACTGGGCCAGAAAAGCTGAAACTTATGTGGAAGCATCCTTGGGAAGTGTAAATTCTAAATTGTTAAAATCATGACCCCCGGGGGTAGGGCGGGGCCACAATAAGGAATCCAAGTTTTACATTGAAATATATAGGAAAAATCTTTAAAAATCTTCTTCTCAAGAACCACTGGGCCAGAAAAGCTGAAACTTATGTGGAAGCATCCTTGGGTAGTGTAGATTCTAAATTGTTCAAACAGGACCCCCCGGGGTAGGGCGGGGCCACAATAGGTATTACAAGGGGGGGGGGAATCTGGGAAAGAACAGCATGGCCAAAGTTACTCAGGTGAGCGATGTGGCCCATGGGCCTCTTGTTTCTCAAATATTGTTTTTTGTAAGGGAAATTTAATATAAGTATAAATTTCATGAATGTGTAAATAGAATGTAAACCTAATTGTAAAACTCATTACGTTGGTTTTAAAGATGAGAGATTTGGCTCCATTTTATACCCATCCAAATGTCTTTACCCAAATGAGAGAGAGAGGGTGTGGACCTGTTTGTTTTGTCATTTGAATTTTATCCTACAATGATGAGAATCTGGTACTGGACAGATCTAGGACCTGAGAATCGAAAATAGATAAAGCTTTAAAACTAGATCAAAGTTAGTTTTGTTATACAAATGCACTACACTTGCACATCCTATCTTCAAAACTTTATTTTAAGAAATACAATGCATGTAAATACATGTATATGTGCAAAGAATCGTTGATGTGTCAGCCCAATCCCTGAAAAATACAAATGGGATAAAAGGCGTAAGGATTGTAAACAAAATACTTCGAAGTTCTTACAGGAAAATTAATTGTCAAGATTTCAAACTGCTTTTCATTTATTCACATATCAAGAATTTTTCACGATTTTAATTTCTACGTCAAAAGTATATCTCAATTAAAACTGTACATTTGAGTTAACAATATGATCATGAAATGATATCAAAGAGAGGTTATGCGTACTTAATTGTCATCAGGGGCAATTGATATAAAGATTCATCAATATATCCTTGATGTTGTCAAATGGGCATCCATCTTGGATGAAGAGCTCTGAGGATTCCCCATTCGCATCTCCCGAACATTGTTCACTGTTATCTAATTCTCTGAACTCTTCATTTGGTTGGGAAGCTATAGACTGAATAGAGGCTCCTTTGCTTTAGAAACGGCACTCACATGATGAATGTCCAATAGCAGGCACGTCCAATAGCAGAACCAAAACATATGCATTCCTTTGTCGAGGTAATCCTATTAATAAAAACCCGTGTACAACAATGAATTACCAAACTATGACTGTCCTTGATTGATCACCATTACTGAAAAGCCTCTTGAATTTTTTTAAGCTGAAACAGAACACATAAATCAATGTATAAGCTTAAAAAATGGGAAAATGTAAACTAAGTATGTATTGTAAAGGACATATAAAAATCTCTTACAAGATATATCAAAAAACTAAGTGGTCTATAAGAAGTGAAATAATTGCTGAATGCAGTTATTAGTCTTTATATATACACATTTCTGGTCACGTGACCTGCTGAGAACCAAAGGTAACAACACAAAGAAACAGGAAGTTAACACAATGCAGCTACCGAGAACCGTAGGGATAATTCGATCTTGATTAAATCTTCGCTTCACTATGAATGAGCGATATCACTTATTCGAATAGATGACATCACATTCTCAAATAGGTGAAATCACTAAATGGCAATAAATACCGAAACGGCCTCTCATATTTTGTAAAAGTCTTCAGCGGGATAAATTATATACATGTAGTTAGATTGGGACGTTGTACAGAGTCTACAGGGTATGAAATGGTTAGACCCGACTTTAGGGGGCTAAGCCCTAATTTTTTTCAACGCTTACAGATCAGTCTAATTGAGGTTATTTACTATAAAGTATACAGATAGTATTTTATTTTAGCCTCTACTTCCCATTCCATTGTTACATGTATAATTTCAGATGATTGGAATACGCCAACCGCACTATCCCCAGTTAATTCAGTCTTAGGGTTGGTTGCATCTTTTGTTGTGTGTGAACAATTTACTTTTGAATTGTTTTATTTCTACAGCAAAATTTGGAGGTACAATGATGTAAAGGAATTGATTTCACCACAGCAAATCCTTTCAATCAAACAACAATACGACCAAATGCATGAAATTCATGGGACAAAAAGATTGAAATCTAATATGCTGCATACAATTTAAAATTCATTGAGAATTTTATCTAAAATCATAATGCCATTTTGCTTTCAATTAAGTCACCAAATTTTTATTCTCCTTGAAATTGAGCTGTCATTTTCAATCTCTTTCAAATAGCTTGTAAGGGCATCAGCAATTAATACGAATTGCACTGAGCTTAGCAGAAAGACTGCATGTCGATCATTAATAATATTTACATGCGCACTGCAAGATTAAACCTCTGTTATAATGTTTACGAGCAGTTCCATGCAGGGCCTCGATGAGGTAATGTATATGTTTACAAAAAATAGAATCAGGTAATTCTTCGATAAGTTTCAAAACTTTTTTTTCTTTCCTTTTTTGTTTATAAATGCTCTATATATTTAAGAAAATATTTACAAAAAAATATGAAAGTTAGAACTTGTGACGTTCTTACATCTACAAATTTGAAAAAAAAAACCTGTGACAATGGTCATCTTAATATCCGATACGGATTGTATGTCTTAATTTCAAAATAATAACGATTCGTTTTGCTCTGTTCAGTTATTTAAGAATAATGTTACATTGTATATTAAATCTAAAGGCTATACATGTAATTGTGGTGTGTTATTAAATTAAAATAAGGATAAAAATGATATTTCACTCGTCTGTATGAAGGACTTTGATCTTGGGTTTGTTTCAATTGTATAATTATTTTCCCTTAAAATATAGTCATTTCTTGTTCATAACCTAGACTGAGAAATTGGTGGAATAATCTATAACAATTGAATAACTTTCATGTAAAAGGATAATGGATAAAGAATAACAAAATTGAAAAATTAAAAGAAAACTCAATATTATTTAAATCTTTTTTCTTCTTTAGAGAACATTTACAGTTTGTTTTCGAAGATTTTTTCATTGATTCTGTAAATAGACACTACAGCCAAAAAAGAAAATCTTGAATAAGAACATATATTTTCGTGCGCAACTATTGCGTGCAAGCTAGTTTTAAAGGGACAGATTCTGCGTGTTGTTAAATCCTCTTTTTATTTGTAATTTACAGAATTAAAAATAGATATAACTGTTCTCATTTTTTTAATTGCGGGATTGTTTTCAGATATACTCGTATCTGACTTGGAATTGAGAGTGAATTTAAACGAATTTAAGCGAATTTAAAGTTATTGTTATGTGTTACCAAACTATGCACCTATGGCCTTAGTGAAATGTTGATAAAACAGTACTGCATTCCACAAATATAGACCCCCGTTGCCACTTAATATCTATAGGTGATTAAAGAATTAGGAAGACTATATGAACAGTATGTTATGGTTCCAGCAGACAATAACGTCTTTTTTGTAAGGATCATTAATTAACTGTATTTTAGAAGAAATGGGTTTTAAAATCACTCCAATTATACAGACAATTACTCTGAATTTTATAAAAGATCTGTTCATTGACAGCTTCTACATATTGTTTGAGGACTAGGTATTCGTATTCCAACAAACGTTTTAAATCCAATGGGCACTAATTGTGTCCTTTGATAGCATCTTTATTAGTACAATTAAATAAAAGACTCCACGGCGTTTGTCAAGTTTATTTCATAGTTTACATGTTTTACAGACTATGAACGAAAAGTCAGACAACTAACAACTAAATTGTATGACAAACGTGTTTTTTCATCGTCATATTCCGCTATCACCTGCATATCGTATTGACGTCTTCTAACTTATTCGATACTCAAGAGTATGCTCAGAGTATAGCGAACTTCTAAACCGAAGTAAGCTACTGACAAATAAGTTGTTGTTACATGGATTTAACTGATGTCGTTATAATGACCTTGTAAGCAAGTATAACCTTTCATTGGGGTTTATTTTGTCTAACATATTTCATACCAATTGTTAGGCCTTTGTTTTCATACTTAATTTGACTATGGAATGTTCCGTATTTCGAGCGATCATAGGGCTCACTCTGGATGAGACCTGTCGACAGGAGATGCTTACTCCTCCTAGGCCCCTGATTCCACCTCTGGAATTCCCGGGGTCCATGTTTTATGCCCTGTTTACATATTATTGTTTTTTAAGGATTTTTGAGATCGATCACTGTTCGTTATCTTTTTCATTCAGGAATAGAAACGATGCAGTTAGCAATATTTTTTACAAACATAAGAAAAAGGAAAATTATGTTTAATCAAATAAGATTGAAGATAATTTATTTTTAAAACTTATAGGAGATGACAAATCAACAAGAAACTGACAGCAGGTGTATGTGATACCTCGACGAATTATGCATTTAACATCATCATCATGGAAGGAACATTAGCCCCTCAGACCAGACGCTGCTTTCGGTGTAAAGAGATTGCAATATACTACTGTAAAGAATGTAAAAAGACCTTTTGTTTGCTTTGCAAAGAAAAACATTTGATAGATCTTGACTCTTCCTTTCACAATGTAGTTACTACTGAAAGAAAATATGGAGATGCTATATTGAGGAAACATGTGAAATACATCCAAAAAATGTTTATGCGTATTGGTGTCGGAGATGTAAATGTCCTTTGTGTAAACATTGTATTGGACATAGGGGACATGGAACAAATGTACTTGAAAGAGCATTTGCACGACATATATCTCAGAGCCGAGAAAGTATTGACCAGACTCGAAGCACAATTTTACCTTGTAATATTGCTTTCCTCGCACGAATTAGGAACAACATACTACCCCCAAACATAGGTAGGTGTCAATCGGAAACTCATCTGAAGATGACGGAAAGAGCCCAGAATGTGAAAAATGCCTTGAATTCTGTACAAAGTTTGAAATTAGGATTTAAAAATATTGTTGAAAACGCAAATAAGTTGAACAGACAAGTTGTTGTTTTACAAAGGTCAGTTGAAAAGTTTGAGATGTATGCTAATAAGCCAGTTCAATGTCTGTTATTTTTGAAAAAAATCTCCAGTTTTTCCTAATTCTTTTTCTAGCATATCTCTGTATGCCTTAAACAGGCAAAATGTAATCAGTATGTTTGGAGAAAAAGAAGATATGAATACAGGAAGAATAGAAGTTGAAAATGAGTATCTTTTTGAAGTTCTGCCTGATGTTGCATTGAAACAATCAATCGAAGTAGAAGAAATACGGAAGAGTTCACATATTTCCTGTGCGTCATCAGACCGATTCTGGATCAGTAATCACAAAAAACTTCTCCTTGTCCAAAAAAATGGGAAAAAGGTATTTCGTCAGAAAGGAATTTTAACTGATATTGAGTTTCCGTGCGTCCATTCAGTAACCAGGGTAGGAGACATGGTTTTTATAGACCAAAAACATAATATCTGCAAACTGGAAAAGGAGAAAACAACATCAAGAATTTTGATAAAAAAAATCAAAGCCGTGGCTCCCTTGTAGTGTCTATTGCTCTTTCCTTGATGAAAATTTGTTGATAGGAATGTGGAGACGTGATACAGATACTTCAATAGTTTCACGGTTTGATAGATCAGGAAAACAGATTCAGAGTTTCCAGTACGACGAATTTGGTGAATCGCTTTATAAAAAGGTCTTGTATTTAACAGAAAATCAGAACAGTGACATCATTGTATCTGATTTGTGGTATGGGGTAGTAGTGGTAAATCGAGAGGGAAAACACCGTTTTTCGTACAAAGGTCCTCCATCGGTACGAAGATTATCACCACATGGTGTCTGTACGGACGCTTTATTGAACATGTTTGTGATTACAACACCAGTACTGTTCAGATGATTGATAGAGACGGACGCTTTCTGCGATATCTCTTGTCGAAGAGTCACGATATAAAGGAGCCACGAAGCATTTGCTATGACTATGCAAATCATTTGGTTTGGGTTGGATCAAAGGGCAAACGAAACAACCTTTTTTGTTACAGATACATAAACCGAAAAGATTTGTCAAAGTTTTGAAAATGTTTTAAATGATGAAAGGGATCGAGAGAGAGAAACGTTATCAGTGTAATTGCTAACTTTAAAAAGTCCCTTTCCGCCATAATGATCATTGACTATGTAGCAAGATGGTTTTGAGCTCAACGTATCCTAACACTCAAATGAGTTTTTTCCGTTAAAAATTGTTAAATGTCGGTCTTCCTGTCTTAACATAAATTTTGTAATTCTGTATTTTGTGAGAGTTATTTTCCTTTTCACGTATTTTATACATTCTGAGTTTTTATAATCTATTTTATGTAAACCCAGTGCCGATCTATGATGACTGCATATAAATGGATATATTGTTTATTGCCATTAACGTATTTTTCCTAGTTAAATTATATATTTTTTTGTTCTGAAATCCAATTAATGATCGAACCTTTTGCACCAAAGTGTTTGTACATCTTTAAAACAAGGTCACATTATAACGAATTGTCTTCCTTACCTAATCCTTTATATGTATATTTTATTTTGTCTCTTTGTATATAAACAGAAATATTTTTTAACAGATTTCCTAATAATTTTTATTTACTACTATCATGGAAATATATTATACTTGAAAAGCATGTCTTTTACTTGATTGATTTGATGTACACTCTATAGTTCTTTAAATATCCAATAAACCATGAGAATTGACACGTCCTCGCTACTTACCTGTTATTTATACAACAAAAATAATGAGTACAAGGCAGGTTTAGAAATATTAAAGCTAGTTCTCCTTTCGTAACAAATCTTCACTATTGGATATTTATTAGATGACAGTTTATATTCTCCTATGCTCTTCCTTTGTTCTTTGTTTTTCTATGCCATCAATAAAGAAGGGTAGTATTTGCCAAAAAAAAAAAAAAAAAAAAAAAAAATGCTTGAATGTTTGTTTAAGCATGCACTGATCAAGGGCTCTGTTGAATTATTCTGGACCAGAAGTGTCTTATGGCTGTCCTTATGTATAAAAATCCAAAGTTATTCTGGGAATTACTCTACAAATTAGATAAAACTAATTCTGGGCAAATTTCATCTCATGATGTTCACCCTGAGGAATTTTACAATTTAAAAAAAAAAAAAAAAACTTAATAAGGCAGACCACAGTCACAATAACTTTCCTAAGAGTAAAATAGATAAATTCCATGTTTTGAAAGATAAACTACATCATAATCATTTTCTTGAATCAGACATTACTATCGCTGGAATAAAGGCTGCCCTTAAGTTCCTGAAAAAATGGAAAAAGTTCTTCCATAGACATGATAACAAATGAAATGTTGAAAAAAAAAAAAAATTGGGAAGTTGAAATGTTGAAACCTGTTGAAAAATTATTTAACTTTATACTTAATTCCGGTGTATTCCCGAAAAGCTGGACTGAGAGCTACTTAGTATTGCTGTAAAAATCTGGTAATAGGCTTGATCCCAGCAACTACCGAGCTATATCAATTACCTCAAATCTAGAAAAACTTTTCAATAGAATAATCCATACTAGGCTACTTGAATTTGTGAACTCTGCATCCCCGATAAGTGAAAATCAAATTGGTTTCAAAGAAAATTGTAGAACATCAGACCTTTTGTTCTCTATTAAAACAATAATTGACGATTACAAAAATTAAAAAAGAAGTATATGCTGCTTTTATTGATCGATCTTAGAAAAGCGTTTGACACTGTATGGAGATAAGGTTTATTTTATAAACTCTCTGAATCTAATATTTCTCAAAAAATGTTAAATATTTTATTTTCTATGTATAGTAGCACAATGAGTAAAATCAAATTTTCTGATGGATTAAGTTATGCATTCAATTCTGAGTACATTGGTGTCAAACACGAGGATGTCTTAAGCCCACACTCTTTAATGTATTTTTTGATGGTATTGTCAGTGACTTAAAAATGGAAAATGTGATCCTGTGCAATTAAACAATATTCATGTAAATTGTCTGTTATATGCTGATGATATTGTAATCTTTTCTGAAAGCAAAAGTGGTTTACAAACCAGCGGTGAAATTCTCAGTAACAATTGTTCAAGTTGGAAACTGCAAGTCTATGTAGATAAATCTAAAGTTATGATATTAAACTCGAAAGGCAAACGTCAAGGGAATGAATTTAGTTTTAATGGTAATACAATACAATACAAATTGTACCAAAATACTGCTTTTAATTAGGTATTATGATGAAATGTAATAGGAGGTTTAAATTAGCAACAACTGTGCTTATTGAGAAAGTTAGAAACGCATGTTTAAAAATAAGAATTATTGGTTTTGATAACGCATGTACATGTAAACTATAAGAAAATCTTTTTGATGCTATTGTACTTTCAGTTCTTCTCTATTGTAGTGAAATATGGGGAGTGGATCTCTCATTCAAAGATATTCCAAATATTGAAAAAAATTATGACTACCACTTGGGTCTAAAATTTCATTCTCGAGTATTAAATATTGGAATTACCTTTAAAACTTCGGATTCTTTGGTTTTTAACCTTTACCAATCCACAAGTAACTGCAATTCTTGGATTAAGAAATACTTTCTATTCTAGATATTCTGGGATTTTCAAACATCACAAAATATAAAGGTTCAATTTAACAAATTTAACCCCCCCCCCCCCAAAAAAAAAAAAAACATTGACCGTGCACTCAGGAGCATTAAAAATCTTTTGCTCAGGAAAACTTGAATTTTATAAAAAAAAAAAAATTATCAACAAGAAAAAAAGTCCATATGTTGATTTACTCAGAAAAAGATCTGAGAGATTCTCTCTTAGTAGAATTAGATAAAGTTCACATAAACTTGCAATAGAACGTTGTAGATATATTTCCACATTAAGAAACGAAAGATGTAATGCTTGCAATACTGGTGTGATTGAAGATGAAATTTAAAGATAATTATTGCTGGTTATTTAAAGTACATGTCACTTGTACGAGTCTTGTGAAATGTTGGTGAAGTGAACAATACCACCCATTAGGGCATTTTTTTTTTATATCTCTAATTATCATCAGGCACTTAGAACAAAAAAGATTAAAAGGCTGAAAATATTTTTATTACATTTTTTATACCACATATATGTATAATTTTTCCTGTTAACTCCTCAACAACAATACTCCAGTTGAACAATATCACAGAATCAGCTAGAATTTATAAAAGTAAGACCGGAGAGAGAGAGAGAGAGAGAGAGAGAGAGAGAGAGAGAGAGAGAGAGAGAGAAAAGTTTACATTTTCATAGCTTTGAAAAATTAAGCAGGACATATCAGGCTTTTTTCCCTCACAGACTATTTTTCATAGAATCAGGTCAAAACTACCAAAAAAATTTTTAAAATCCTGACAATATTCATGCATATAAAAATAATCCGTCTTCTTGTGTATTGTCGGGATTTTTTCGGGGGGGGGGGGGGGGGTTGTTGAGGTGAGCCACTGTCCATAGATGTAAGTATTGTTTTATACATTTGTTAAAAAGAGAAATGTTTCCTTTACTCTTCTAAACCACTATAAAATGTACTTGTACCAATCGTTTGCATGTAAGCTGTAGGAGGAACTGAAGCTGTTATGGACTCAAAACCATAGGAGATTTAAGCATACAAAGTGTTTCAGTACGTAAAGCATAAAACACGCAAACATAAATAAAGTGAAGTAATTTAGTTGGTAGGCTGTGTTGCAACCCCTAACAAAATATATGTTGCGCCCACTACTGAAATAATTATTTCAATAGTGGTTGAGAATGCAAATCAATAGCGGTAGTTATTTTAATAGTGGCTGAAACAAAGTTGTATCAAATAATGCTAGATAATTTGCAAATTGTATAAATGTTTTGAACTTTCAGTGTAATATAATCAATATTTATGTGCTAAATTCGATACCATCAATCAACATTTGCTAACGGTACAGCAGGCATGATGTACTGAGAATGGCGAACACCTATATGATATCTTGGACTGGTGTCTAAATGGGCTGTTACATGTTCTGGGCTATATTTCCCGGGCCCTGGAACGTTGTTAATGTCCCTTGGTGTTTTAGCCCGCGCACCCAGGCTGTACGACGGTGCTCTTCTTTTTGTCTGCGAGGGAGGAAGGGCGCCATATTTGGCAGGTCCAGGTGTTTTCGCAAGATCGGCTGAAAAATCCAAATAGTTTGTTCTACCGAGCAAGGCAGCTTGTGTTCCTCCTTTTCTGTCTGGGACCCTGGGTCCTATCGTTGAGGGTAGGGCGTACATGTTTGGTGATGGGGTAACGTCGACGCGACGGGGAGACGTTCGTGGACTTATGGAGTAGTGAGGGGCATTTTTCTCCTTGAGGGGTGCTCTGTCTGTATTGTATGCCCCGGGTCCCGGACTTACATCTCTCTCTGAAGAGACAAAATAAAAATATTCTGGTCTCTAATTTTCTAAGTGAACACATACATGTATGCATAAAGCTTTTGAAAATAAGCTACTTGTGAACAATATCTTTACCAACTTGAATCATAATTCTCTTTTCATTAATTAATTTCAATAATCATTAATTTTTCTTCAAGGCACAAAAAAATCCTTAAAAATTAATATGGATAATAAATGTTGAAATCCTTTAAATAAATATAAATAAATTACTTGGTGTTTTGGCACGCCCCAGCATGGAGAAGGAGGGTCTGATGTCCCTCCCCCTAGACGTCAATGAACTGTCGATGTTATAAGCTGGCCCAGGACCCTCTTTTTTGAATTCTAAAAATAATTAAATATTGTATGAAAATATACCCCCTAAATGTTAAAGTAATAAAGTAATAAATTGATGCAATAGGGACATACAGAAAAATACAATAATAAATGTGAAACAGTATATACAAAACAATTTTTCTTCATCATACATGTAAAATTTAATAAACTACAATGTATACTGCATATTATGAACTTGCGTTACCTGTAAAACAAAGGAGACAACTCCAAGTTGCCTTTTCAATACGTGAATATGTAAGATTTAACAATGAGAGAGAGAGAGAGAGAGAGAGAGAGAGAGAGAGAGAGAGAGAGAGAGACAAACAGACATTTTAAGAAAGTTAAGAACCATTTCCTAAGAAAAAGTGTCGCATCACGCATTGTCATTCATTATTTATTAAATTTGAAATGTGCACTCAATCAACGTCTTTGTCTATGAAATACCCCCACTTACTAAAAGAAAATGTTGTCAGCGTCTCTCTATTTGCTAACGGTAAACAAAGTGAGAAACTAAAATAATCAAAAGAACACAAAATCTAGCTTTAAATTGGCACAGACTCTTCTAAATTGTCTACCATTTTCATTGCAATCCTCTTCTATGTAATTCTATTCCGTAACAAATGCATTCTTAAGATAAACCGATTTATATATCTTATTATAAAGAAAGAAAACCGTTTATTTGCACAACAGTTAATGCTTGCATGCTTTAAATACGGATTGTCATTAAGGATGAATTATTTGGTTTAATTTAACAATGCACTTTAGTGAATCCTTGGCAGTGCGAGGATTTGTACAAATAATTAAATGATAAATTCTTGACTGAGCAAGAAAAATGTTAATACATCATCTTATGAATTCTGTGCTGAACGACAAACAATTGAGATCAATATTTTGTAACTCAAACTTTATAGACTTTTCATGTAGGGAGAGGGTGAAATAAGTTTTAAGAACTTGTGCTCAATCCCATTGAAAATGCATTACAATAAAATATGTTCAATTCAAATCAGTATTTTTTTTTTTTAAACTAATAATGTTATTTTATTTGGGAAAAACCCAACATGAATCAGTAGTTACATGTACATTCATACATATTAATTTTGTAATACAACGAATTCAAACCTATTTATATTAATCTAGGTTGCTACACTTAGTAGTTTTCAATTTGTTGAATTACACAAAAGTTTAGTGTAACAGTCATTCATGATTATTCTCTTAGAGAATAAATTGGAAAACTTGACCCCCTTATAACATGATTCCTTCCTCCATTTCTTTATATACTAAAATTTAATGATATACAGAGACTTTTAGACGGAATCGACCACATAAACCAAGTGGCAATTAAAAGTTTGTAAAATTTCAAGCAATTGCATGGTCTATGTATACAAAAATAAAATTTAAAAAAAAATTCCCAGGTAAATATATAGTAAAAGAAACAACTTGATATATGTTATTTATCCATTTGATAAAGAAAACATAGTAGCCCGATACGGTAAAGTATTATTTTGTAAAAAATATATGTATAGATTAATTTCAGAAAAGAAGAGAGACATATCTTATGGTGGCAAATAGAAAATGAAACTTGTGTATATACATGTAGATACATATACTTATTTTACCATACAGAGTTGATACAAATGTTTACAACATACAAACCAAAGATCTAGTATACTAAGAATACAAATCGAACACCATCACCACGTCATCTAGCTTACTACGTCATACCTTTCTTGGCTATATGCGCGGGAAATTTAAATAAATTTGATTAAAAGCATACAAAGTATATCCATTTAATCATGATTACTTTCTTTTACGTTTCATTCATCATGTTGTTGAAACAGAGACACTTATACCAGTATTCAGTAACTTATAATTGATTATTTCTCTAAAATCAAGCAATAAGCTAATTTGAAATATGCCATGTTTGTAGAATTTCTATGAAATGATTACTATAAATAGGGTTTATCTAAATATAGTACAGTGCGACCATATTTTAATGCTTTTTTCTAATCTAATTGTTCAAATTTAATGTGTAAGCAATATATGAAAAGCATGCACAAAGTGGATAAAACATAAACATGCAAAAAAAAAAAGAGGTGATGATGATTGTTTGATCTTTTTATTAAGCATGCAATTTTTGGTGATAAGGGCAATTTAGTAAAAGTATAAATCCCATGTGCATGTGAATCTTAATATCTTCCTCGTATTTAAAACTTTATTCAATTTTTTGTGTTTTGACTCGATTTCTAGCTTACCCCAGTGCCTAGACCCAAATGAGAAAGAGGGTGTGGACCTTTTTGTCTTGTCATTTGCATTCTGTCCTACGGTTGTGGGAAGCTGGTACTGGGCGGGTCCAGGACCTGTCAATCAGAAAATAAATGATTAACATTACAAATAAAATTGTTAATGTAATTCTTGCTATATATATCTTTGCTTAACACATGCCAGCCCCATCTTCAAAACTGTAAAATATTTAAATGTAAATGTATGTGTGCAGAGAATCGTCGATCTGTCAGCCCAACCCCTGAAAAAAAGCAATGTGATAAAAAGCGTAGAGATTAACAAATCATACATGTACATATGTCAACCTTTTTCGCAATTTTGAATTGTACTTCAAAATTTATGTCTTTTAATACAAACCAATAGCATCTTAATTAACAGTGTACCTTTAACTTAACAATACAATCATTAAATGATATCAAAAAGGGTCATGTGTACTTGTTAAAATGAGCAATGAATATAAAGATAAATCAATATCTCCTTGATATCAAAACCTTTTATTGTCAAATGGTCAGCCATTGATCTGGCACGGCCCCTCACAGCCGAGGAAGAATTCAAGATTATTGATAATGAAAATTCTATGTGTATCACTGTTATTCAGCAAATATTGGTAAAACCCCCTTTTAAACATATACAAAAAGAAATACCGCGAGTATATTCATTGATTTTTCTTTAACTTCATAAAATTGTAGCTAAGAGATGTGTCGATTCTTCAAACACATAAGCTCAACTACTGAGGAAGGCATTGTATCTGAGACGATTCTATAGGAAGTTGGATATTCAAACTTTCCCGTATCGTTTCTGGAAATTTTTTGATGAAATTATAAAAACAAAAACTTATTAAAAAATATTTATGCTTCCATGCATATAGACCACCGACTGAGCTTCATTTCTTCCGCAACAATTGTGAGTTTTGATATAAGAACTTGATTTTTAGGACATGGTATTACACTGGCATTGAGAGAGAGAGAGAGAGAGAGAGAGAGAGAGAGAGAGAGAGAGAGAGATGGGGATGCACTTTTATTGGAAAAATTCATGCTTCATGTGCACAATTTCATTTATTTAGGTTTATCACACCGTATATGAATATTACATAATCAGTGTAACCTCGGAAAGTGCGAACATGTCTTATCTCTACAAAGTACTTCCAAATAAAAACTGCATGAACTTTCTGATTATTTTTTAATGATAATCAATTACAAGGTACCTATGTACCTCATTACATTATACAAAAGAACTGGACAGAATGAATCTTGAAAGTGAAGTGAAAATTTTAAAATCGATCGAAAGGGATAATATTTTATTTTCAAAATTCAAACTTTTTTTGTGGATGATAAATATCTAAGCCTACGAGAATTAAAGATTCAGATGAATAGAAATTGTAAAACAACACCTCCAAACCAAACATAAGTATTGTATTGATAGAAAAAAATGACCTTGATCATTTCAATAAATATTGACCCAAGAATTTGCAAAAGATGAACATTGCAAAAAGTCGCCTTCATATACGTGGTTTAACTATAAGCAAATATTTACCATTTAAAAACGTCGATTTAAGTCTTCGTTTTGAAAGATTTAAAGCATAAAAGACCAAAAACTTTATGAAAAATATTGACGTGCTTCGATATATACCGATATTGTGAATGGTATTTTCAATGCTTTGAACAGAGTCCACATATATTTGTTCTTTCATTATAGTCATTTCATTTCAGTCGTAAAAATAGCTTTGTACTTTCTTTCGGACTTAATTTTCGGGCGAATAAATATCTTTTATTCTTAATGTCATTAAACATGTTTCAATGCGAAAATATCATAAAATTATCTTATAATAAATTGTTTTGGACCTTTCTATATAGCCATAGTGTATACACATTATAAATATCCATGTCCAGTTGATTATTCTAATATTTAAATATAAAAGACGCGTGCACATGCACTAGTTAATTGTTATCGAAGCGTTATCAGTTATATCCACACTGAGTAACCATCAGTAAGAATCTTTTATGAAATACTGATAGAAAGGGAAAGGGGGGGGGTGGTGCACACCTCAACATAATAATTATCTGTAGATGTATTGCTTTCGTTTGATTTTATTTTGTTCTCTTAAGGAATGGAAGTCTTGATTAGAATAAAAAAAATATTTTCTTTATTTGGAAAAAAGTTCTGAATTCATTTTGATGAAGAAAATAAACGACTGTATAGGCTGTATATATGTGTATCAGTGTATACATAAATATAATTATATATGTGTATCTCACGGCGAAAGCGCTAAGTGTAATAATTATAAATGTGAACTTGTTTGTTCATCTTGGATTTAATTTTAATATATGTGTATATACATGTATGTTTATATATGTGTAATTGAATGCTGATGAAGGTTTTTACAAGCTACTTTAGGAATATGGACAAATCACATGTGGGAATGATAACCCTGCTTCACCAAAATCCCTTTTTATCGATCATCCCTATTGAATAATTATTGTTTGATTCTAAAACATATCAATTACCAGACAAGGACATTTATCAAATCAATCATTATTGGCCTTGAACGAAGTAAGGCTTTCCATCATATAAGGTATGTTTTAATCTCATTGTTACGACCGAGTAAAACCCCCCAACACGAAGTATTATGTAACAGGCAAAGGACCCTTGTAATTATTTGATATTTACTTTCACTATCAAACAGTCTAGAGATTTTCGATTGGATCCATTTAACCCTGAATTTAAAGTTTATCTTTGATTAATGTTCTGTAAACGAAAACAGAGAAGTACGTAGTAGTACTTTTTACGACACATATGAAGAGCGCTCACTCAAACAAATATCCGGTTGTTCTTAAACGCAAGTACCATGTTCTTGACTATTGATAGAATGTTATATACTTTACCGACAGATTTTGTATAGAATGCATCTTTTACCACCTTTCACTGCAATTTTTCTTGAGATATGAGTTTGTTCTCGAAAAAATACGCTTAAAGTTTAGATTTTTACCAAGCATAATAGAATGTCGCGTCTAGCAGGGAACGTGATTTCACAAAGAAATCTTTGTAAAATAGTTTTATTTATTGCAATTAATCTTTTTGACAAACATGAAGCATGTTAGGTGCTTACTGAACGTGCAATGTCGGCAATTGAAAGCACAGTGAGTATACACACAATTTTTGAAAAGCTGTTTGCAAACAAATTCACGATTTAAAATAAAGTGCAATTTCTTTTTTTCCTAATCAAATGCTGGACAGGTACTATATGTATTTTAGGACAGACTTGAGATTAATATAAAAGGTGATTATTGCAAGAAGGTGTACAGGTTGAACGCTCAATTTTTTTTAAAATAATTTTTGGTGCACATCGATTTTGGAGGTTGAAGATGTGCCACTGTGATTTACTTGAGCGGATCGAAAATATGTCAAGGTCACCTTTTTTATGAATATGATGGGACAAGCACCTTTCCATTTAAACTAATACCTACATACAACTAAACATTTGTTTCCTTTGTTTTTCATTTGATGATGTATCAAAAGTAAACTAAAAAGGTTTAAATGTCCACATGCCGAATTTCTCTATCTGTTAATGGTATTTATGAGGTAAAGCATTCGTCTGTTCATTAGCATTTTGCTACTGATATATGTGCCAGGGACTTTAAAATTTTACCCATATATAATTTAAAACAACTGTACACGATAAGAACACAACTTAATTTCTTTCAGGAATTATCTCATTCTTTGGTCAGAAATGGTGACCAAGTGATCACGATTCAGGATGTCATTTTCCCATGCAAGTTCGAGATGGACAGAGAAAGTGGGGTTCCACATTTCCTATTTTTTTGTTTAAATTGAAGGGGGGATTAGAGGTGGTGGTTAAGATCACTCTGAAATAAATGATACAAAAAATATATTGTTACTTTACCTTTTAAAGGTTTTGCCACTAAGGGCTCCATTTTAAAGTATCTCGGCATTTTGTCCTATCAAAGTTCACTACTTGGTCTGGAAATATTCTACTATGTTAGAAGAATTTATGTCATTGTTGCCTATTTCACTGTATAATGAAAATTCTAAATCCTGAAGACGCAGAAGAGAACTAAAACAAGATGGTAATTATAGCTCCATGGAAAGTTATTTTTTCAACAATATTCACAGCAGATCTAAATCGTCATGATGGAATACGTAGCAACCGACATACTTTTGTACGAAAAAGAAAGTCTACACTACGTAAACATACTTATAATTAAACAATACTTTTTGTCAATAAAAGTTTGCCAATCATTCGATTGCACCTAGAACTTAATTGTTAGAGAATACTTATTGAAACAAGACTAGCGTTACAAGGGGAGACCCTATTGCGATAGCAAAGGCTGGAAACAGCCGTTGGATTTTGGTAAACTTCCATGACTCTGTTTAACTAAATTGATACACACTTGATTACAAATCAGCGAACCCATTACGTGACTTGAAAAAGCGTCGAAAATTCTTAAAGGTGTAAATTTGACTTCTGACGTGTTTGCGATAATCAGTAAGATAACGCGAGACTTGGCATTGTGCGAGATGATTGGTCAATGATGTGATGATAAACATGGCGATACGATTTTTGAATGGAGACGGTATTTAAAAGCTCGTTGGATACATTGTCTATAGAAATATAAAACTCAAGATAGCACACCCCGTCTTCTACCCCTCATATGGTTATACGATATTATCATTGATTCCATCACTGAGTTTTTCACATGTACAGAAAGTGGGACAAAATGTGAAACATCATGTTATACTTCAACCTCTTATAAATTAAACTTAAGGACATACGCAACGTAGTTTGAACATTATTGTCTTTTCCCCTGGAGTTGAAGAGTTCCAATACTCGAAGGACCTGTGTGCTACTTTTTTTAAATGTCTATATGTGGTGCTGTTCACCTATTCTAAAACAAATTTGGATGAAAAAACATCTACAGTATATGTTTAGTAATTTTTGTATATTTTTTCTCTGAATAATACAAGAGTTATCATCATTTGATATTTATTCAAAACCCCTGGTAATGCATGCTGATTTTCTGTCTGCGAACATCTATTAGTACTATAATTTCAAATTAAGAATATCTTGAAAAATCATCAGTATAGGTAAGGTACGTTGCGTGTGTCCTAAGGCGAAATTCACCAGAAAACATGTAAAATATAAGTAAACGTGGAGCTGTGGATATGTCAAAAATGCAATTATAATAAATCTAAACAAATATAGATGTACTGTACTTACATGACTGACACTTGCTAGACACAATTTTACCACCTCTCTTATCACGACCCCGATTCCTCAAAATTTGCAGAGACACCCATTAATGACCATGTGTCATCAACAAAACTTCTTGTCTTGTTTAATTTCTTGAATTTATTTAATATCACATCCCGAGTATATGAAAGTTTACGAATTAAGACATTCATGCCTGAGATTGGTGTCTTGAAAAAGAACATATTCCCTTTCCCGTAAAGAGGGTCATACGGTGGAATTTAAAAAATCATAAATAATTCAATAGGTAACTAGTCGAAATTTTCTTTGAATATAATACATAACTATTGAAGAGGAAGTTGGATTTTGACTCTTTCTGCTAGCAATAAACATGGAGATAATAATGCTAATGAAATAAGATTCGCTACTTTATAGTTGAATGCAAATTAAAGCGATATAAACCAAGAAAATTCAATTTGTCTGATAGATTTTTTACGGAGAAGGCGGTACACTTTTTTACCTACACGTATATATAGATCTATATCCTTTGGGAGTGCTTTCCACTAGGTAATAAATTGGGCGCAGATTGCGAGATATGGTATATAGAACACTGTAAAAGATTGATTTAGAAGTAATAAACATGCTCTTTTACATCTGGTATTGACAAATTGCGCGTTATATAGACCTAAAAGAAAAAAAAATATTTCGATTGGGATCCACATTGAGCAGGCTTTCCATAACGTCCACGAGAGAGGAAATTCGGCATGTTTTCTATCGCGTCCGTGCTACTTCTGTTATATTCTTTAAGTTAATGGTTGATTTCTTAAATATCTTACACACGTTTGTTTACATGTAAATTTAAACATCAAGTTCATATGAATAGAACGTAACAATAGAATAATCACCAGTCAAGAAGCACAGCGCTTTCTGATTTTTGTTAACTTTTATATTTATATAAAGTTTTAATCTAATAAAATCCAGTTTATAGCACCTTCTTTAATATTCGTAAAATATTGTTAACAATTTCAAAGTAGACTTCGTATTTTAAAAAATTCAAAGTGGGTCAACTCGTAAACTCTTAAATCCCGATCTATGCATTCTTTTATACTTAAAGATTAATACAGGGATATAGGGATTGACTCAATATTATTGTAGCAGTTTATTCAAAATGCAGTATTTAAATCTATAAAAGGTATGTAGCTGACATAAAGTAATCGAGGTTAACGGCTTAATTATAGGTTCTTATTGACTCTCTCCATGTTGTGTGTTAAGGGTTAGGCAATTTTATTTCTTTACTGTCATACGAAATATACGATACCTGAGAGAGAGAGAGAGAGAGAGAGAGAGAGAGAGAGAGAGAGAGAGAGAGAAGTTTCCATGTTTGGGCTGTCCTGGGGAATAACTGTATTAACTGTTTTGAAATCTATATTTGCTCGATTCTAAATAATTGATTTAAACGTTTAGAAATGTCCCCTTTCAGAAGTGCGTCTATTTTCAGATAAAAAAAAAATGTTCGTTTAAAAAAATATAAAGATATATCCTTATCTTTCCGCGTTTACGAACTCCAATTTCCGCACCCCGTTAAATGTTGAATTGATTTCTTTAATTATGTAAACGTAACTACGGACTGAACGTTATAACGAAGTTCAGAGTATGGTCCTCTTCTTTCACCCGTTATCTATACAAATTCTTTTCGCTTATTAAAAGAGTTGAGTTGTGTCGTGCATAATACATCGTGATTTTGTCTTTCTTTTCATTCAATGTACTCTATGAAAACTAGGAGTATTTAAAATGTATATCGTGGCCCAGTGTACAGATTATGGATTTGCGTAAATAGAGATAGGCGTTGTAATAATACAGCTTCACAAATTTTCATGTAAAACTACATTGAACTGTTTAATGTCTGCGTGAAATAAAACTTCACTACATTCATATAGAATATTCTATCCAACGACATCCAAAATTCTGAACCTTATGCAAGCTTTTATTGAACGAAAAACCTTAAAAGAGAACTTGATATTGTGCAAGTCTAAACCAGGGGTTTTCGTCTAATACCTGACAAATTATAATTGGTGTTAGATTTTCATAATGAGTTTTACAGAGATTGTAAACAAAAGCAAAATCTCCTGTGCGTTTAAATGACTCCGAGTCTGGTCCATTAATGATAATACATTGTAAGATAGGGACAATGTCTTTTTTATGCAGAGAAAAATTGTCTGCATTTTCCTTTCATTTTAAATATTGTCGACGACTAGAAAAGGGGCTTAAATATTTTCCTCTGATAATAGCAAAAAAACGATCCCATTATAATAACATTCCATATTTGTGAATAACGGATTCAATCATTATTTTTCTCTCTCTGAATATGTACGTCATTTTGAATTTGCATGATAAAAATCTACATACAATTGAATTTTTCGCTTAGAATATGCTAGATTCTCTCTCTCTCAAAAATTTTTAGTTTTAGTCTCAATGTTTCAACTACTTAATAAACTGTGCAAACAACTGACATCGTTAGACACACACACAAAAAGTAGTGTTTCAAATTTATACAAAGTGTTATTTCTTGGTACAAAGATGGCAAATTGGCATTTAAAGCACGGAAAATCATCACCAGGGATAAAACAAATATATCGAAAAAAAAACCCAATGTGGGATTTAAGAAAATAAAAGCCACCTCGGGCGAAACTAAAGATCTAAGAGAATATCATCGATATCTTTTGATTTGCTTCTTTGTTTATTTTTCTTTACTGAACATATTGAAATGTTTATTCTCATTTATCAGACACCTAAAAAAACCAACTTCCATTTGTTTGATTTATAAACAAGCGCAGGTGTTTAATTGTGTAGATATTGAAAACATTCGTTTTATGCTTTTTTAACATTTACACACATTTGTAAATAAACAAATGCATAAATGAATGAATAAATAAATAAATTTTGACATGGCATATTGAAAGGCAATATTCTTAAATTTGTTAGAGACGCTTACTTAAAAGAACTAAGTTAATACAAGTAATGGGAGCAAGTTCATATGGACAAAAGTTATTTCTAAACATAAACTTTTGGCACTGGTTCTTTTTGCCATTAATTACAAACCTGTACTTCAGTTTGGTTTAATCAAATCCTGATTAGAACGTTTTTTCCCTTTTGGTAGAGTTTAATATTTATCGAAAGTATGCCAATGCATATATACAGAAATTAGAATTCATAAATTATATACTTACTAGTATATTCTGCACCAATTAAAACTCGTTTTCTTTTCCCTCTTTCTTGAATATCCGGAGCCATTATGAATTTTTCTGAATTATTTTCCCCAAATATTAATATTTCGTCAAAGATGGTTCACCGATTGTGATATTCACAATAGAATATAATGAGGCTATGAAAAGGTCACAATTTCTCTGTTGGACGGAAAATTATGCATATAATATAATACTATAGTGCTATGTCCCTCGGCGACTTTATGTTGTCTCTGAGTATTAATTATTCATCGTGTTTTCATTTTGCCACATTGCGCGAAGACCTTTCGGAACACCACTAATGATAACGTTGTAAGTATCACGGTAACCAAGGACGCTACAGAAGACACTACGATCCCTTCCGCTCCATGTTAACCCCGGGACCACGTAATAACGAGAGTGTATATTTCCCTCGTAAATTAACACGACTATGCAGAATGGTAAAAGTTAGAATATTGATGTGCCTATTACGGGCTGTAAATTGCTCGACCGCTATAAAAGGTAAATTTCACTCTCGCGTATTTATTATTCCACCTTCGTTATGTATTTAAATCCGATTTATTGATCAACAGGGACCGATGTCGATCTTGATACGACACAAATCTTTTTAAACACTCAGAGGGAAAAACAAACTTTAAAGAAATCGAATACTGTCATAAGAGAACGCCGATTAACTTATTAACAGGAACCAGAATTTTACATTTCTGCAATCAATGTCATTCGATGATTTGAACAATGTAATAATCAACTATATCTAGATGTTATCTTAGTTATCTATGCTTATTGATGCAAATAATTGATAAACTGAAAGAATACATATGTACAATTTTGTACATTTTCCTAATTTTATGATTTAAATGATTGATAGATCTATACATACTTTTTTAAAAGTATTTAAAAAAATAAATATATTTTAAAAAAAATTAAAAAAGGTCTGATTTTTTTCTTTTGTTTTTTATTCAAATATTTCATATTTCCTATTTGACAACCACGATGTCAATGAAAGTTGTTAATAAACAGCTGTTCGGAAGTAATATTTATCGAATGTGCTTTATTTTGTTGAAATATACATGAGTCCATATAACGGCTTATTATTCTTGCAAGAATCGAGAGGAGTTGAGTTGAATCAGATCCGACTGATCTGTTTGCGGATTTGTGTTGAATCAATGTGTACTAATAAATTTATGAGAGACTTAACAGAAATACCGAAAGGAAGAGAAATGAACTGCGATCCATGAAAAAAAAATATTGACATAATGAGTAATTATGAATCATTTAATTTCTATAAAATAATTGATTCTTTTTGGATAAAACATTCTTTTGATAACCGCATCAATAGAATGTGGAGTTCGCTTGCACTTACGCTAAGCGCATTGATGCGATCCAATTTTTTTAATATATACATTGATCAGAGATTCTTTTCTTTAAAAAAAAAAGAGAAAAACAAATGTATGCAATATTTAATTACTTATAAACAGTTTCTTTTGGGTCGAATCAGTAGTCACTGTTTAAGTGGCAAAATACACTTTATTATATGCGAGACTCAAGAGGCTATAAAAAACGAATGACATTTCTGCGACAAATTAAAAACCATAAGATCACTGGCATAGAAAGTTCGTGGATGATAATTATTATAGAAAATCAAAATCGTAGTGACCAATGTATGTATAGCTATTGTTTATCCTGCTCATATATATTGTACCTATAGAAAAATGGAATATAGGGTTTCCCAAGTTGACCGAGGCAATCATTGCATGAAGGAAAATTTTACAGCTATCTTTATACAAGCAACAAAACACATAAACATTTATTCGCATTTCATCAAATTTACATGAACAATGCATTACGAAGTTATCAATATTTAAATGCAGAGATATTGTATTTAAAAAGCGGATAATTGTTAATTAAGACCCCTTAAGCTGAATTATTGGGTTAGTTAATATATCATACAAGGCATTTTGAAATCAAAACAAACTGTCATAATCTACGAAATACATATTTGACCCTGTATAATACTTCAAAAACAACAATTTATTTACAAATATTTACTAGAAGAGTACAATCTAATCTTCAACGAAGAAATATGTGGACAATAGCATTGAAACAACAAAACTAATACCTAAAACTTCTTAAAATATTTGACAAATCTGTGCACTAGATATATCAAAATACATAATTGGAGTGCATGAACTCAAAATTTAAATATGGTATAAACTACATATGACTTTCCCCTCAAATATACGATATCCGTGTACCAATTAAGATTTTCTACTCCTGAATAAGTAAATACATAAATGGTAGTCATTAACGACATTTAAATTCGTAAGCATCTCTGGGGAGTCTAAATAGGTTTTTTTGAGAATCAGTGGAGACTTCCACAAGGTTTTTGCTAAGAGTGTTAAAGCCCTGTAGAGACATAACGAAGTGTGAGGTATGACATTTATTTTACAAAAGTTTTATGTAAGTAAGTAAATGGTTAATTAAAGTGACATGTGTTATTTACAATCACAACATTGAAATGTTTGAAACGTACAATTAATTAAGCCTATATGTCACTTTTAACTACTGTATTAAACAATCAATAAAAATACAGTGGCATTATGCATTGCGTTTACGATATAACTTAAAACAAACAAACAAACACTGTCCGACATATGGACACTGAGCTCCAATAAAAGATTCTGCATCTGTTTTCATACGTTTATCAAGGAATTGCGATCTTGTAGAGTTTTAATGATAAGTCCTAGATTTTCCAAGGCAATGTGCAAAACCATGCAGTTTTCCTGTAAATAGCATTTTCTTGTCTGGAATGTGATAAGAATAGACAACACACTCTTTTTGAATTTTTAAATTAAAATTTTTAAAAGTCCAAAATATTCAAAGCTGAGAGTTAGAACAAAAAAAAGTAAAACGGTAAGTGAGCCATAAAAAAAAATAAATAAATAAATAAACTCGTCAAAGGTCTGAAAAATGCAGTTTTCCACTATTTCTACAATTTACTAGACATTGCAGTGCTCCACAAAAATCTAAATTGACACCACATACAACAATAGGACGGAAGGATGGATCAGATCGCGAAGTATTCGCATGAAGCAAAGCTTTGTAACAATCGACAGAAATGGTGTAACAGGTATTCTTCTCTTTGTAAATGTATTGTTTATTGAAAAATAAAGAATAGAAGGTTATTGATCCTCTTCCGCCTCTGTTTTTGAAATTCTATCAAGTAACTATCCCTTTTTGTTTTCGTGCTTGGAATCAAGGCTCCGCACATGTTAGCCAGAACATCACTTTTTACCACGTGTGGCATAAAACTCGGTGTAGTCACTTCTGTGAAAGATGGAATACGCAGGTATTCAGACATCTTTGACGAATACTCCATTAGGCTGGCAGCATCGTAATCACTCTCCAACTTTTGGTTCTCTTTTATAGCCAGCTGAATGTCAGAGCGTCGATTTTGCATTTCAGAAAGAGACCTAGAGAGGACAGTCATGTCTCCATTTTCCATTACATCCGCAGAATGGAGGAGTGTTTGTATTGACCTATCTACCTCCGAGTGAAGTCTTTGTCTTTGCTTTTCAATTAACATCTTCCCTCAGCTTCTTGTAACTTTTCTTTTGAGTATCTAATGATGACTGAAGGTCTGATATTATCTTATCATATGTTGGAGTAATGTAGCGCTCGTTTTGTTGGTTCTCTTTCCTAAGGCTTGATTTAAGTTTATCGTAGATAACAGAAATTTCCTCGAATATGTGGTTAGAGTGATTGTTTGATGCTATGCATTTGCTACAAATTGAAGTTTTACAATTTTTGCAGTATAGTTCGCATTTTTTATTTTGATGCATCTTACAACCTGCAATCTTAATGTAAAACTTGGATTCCCTATTGTGGCCCCGCCCTACCCCCGGGGGTCATGATTTGAACAATTGACAATCTACACTACCCCAGGATGCTTTCATAAAAGTTTCAGCTTTTCTGGCCCAGTGGTTCTTGAGAAGAAGATTTTTAAAGATTTTTCTTATGTATTTCAATGTAAAACTTGGATTCCCTATTGTGGCCCCGCCCTACCCCCAGGGGTCATGATCTGAACAATTTAGAATCTACACTACCCCAGGATGCTTTCATAAAAGTTTCAGCTTTTCTGGCCCAGTGGTTCTTGAGAAGAAGATTTTTAAAGATTTTTCTTATGTATTTCAATGTAAAACTTGGATTCCCTATTGTGACCCCGCCCTACCCCCGGGGGTCATGATTTGAACAATTTAGAATCTACACTACCCCAGGATGCTTCCATATAAGTTTCAGCTTTTCTGGCCCAGTGGTTCTTGAGAAGAAGATTTTTAAAGATTTTTCTTATATATTTCAATGTAAAACTTGGATTCCCTATTGTGGCCTCTCCCTACCCCCGGAGGTCATGATTTTTACAATTTAGAATCTACACTATCCCAGGATGCTTCCACATAAGTTTCAGCTTTTCTGGCCCAGTGGTTCTTGAGAAGAAGATTTTTTAATGACCCCACCCTATTTTTGTCTTTTCTTGATTATCTCCCCTTTGAAGGGGACTTGGCCCTTTATTTTAACAATTTACACTCCCCTTCACCCAAGGATACTTTGTACCAAGTTTGGTTAAAATTGGCCCAGTGGTTCTTGAGAAGAAGTTGAAAATGTGAAAAGTTTACAGACGGACGGACAGACGGACAGACGGACGGACGACGGACAACGGGTGATCAGAAAAGCTCACTTGAGCTTTCAGCTCAGGTGAGCTAAAAATGGTTGCAAGTCCATCCACTAATGCAAAAGATGTATATCATGAGTGGTCAAGATCACCATGATATATATTTTGTCTCTTTATTTTATATCATAAGTTGGCGTGGATCGTGACAATTAACAATTCAAATCTGTAACTACATCTTTAGTTAACAAAAGGATTACATTTTACGAGTGTCATTAATGGTCAAGATACATGTTCTTACCACTAATTGCGACTTTTTTTCATTACTGGACACTGTATCACAAATAAAGACTACATACCTGTAGACTTTGTAAAGCATTCAGGGCAAAACTTTTCTGCATGGATATTTAGACATCGTTTTCCGTATTTGACAGAATTGCACATCCGAGATCCTGGTTCAAAGATATTCATATCAATTTCTCATCCACATTCGGTACAAAAATTTCCTGTTGGAAAAAATTTTTCTCCCCGCATACATTTCCATTTTTATATACAAATGTATATATGGACATGTCCTCATCTTTACAAAAGATTGAATGTTTCCTTGTCGCCACATTTTATCTGAAATAAACAAATGATTACTTCTTTTTTGGGGAAACTCATTAAAAGACCGCAATGAAAATGATTTTTCTAATATATACAACATTGCCGCAATTGGTAAAATACCACTGTAAAAGAAACATTGTGCTATATTAAAGAGAATGAGCATTCATTTTAGAAAGGTCGAATGAAAAGGTGTCATTGCATTGACGATTTTTTAGGAGTCTGGTCCTTTCCGAATAAAGGGTTTTGACATGC